CCCTTAGAAGACCTACAGATCAACACATACAGGTCCTTCAGTGATATGACCGGTCCACCATATACCAAGGGTCCTCAAGCAGCTGGAGGAAAAATCACTTCTTTTATCATCTGTCTAAAGACGACATGCATTTTGCTAAAGAGACAGAGAGGTGGAGGAGATGTCCCAGGCCCTGGAGCCAAGACCCTGATTTTAAAACCGGGGGCATCCTGAAGAAATCTCAAACAAAAAGATGTGTTTGCATTAGAACCTAAAGCAGAACTGTGATCTCCTAGAAAACCTTCCAAGGACCACGGCGATCCCCCAAAATTGACAGCCCAGACCCACCAGCTTGGTTTCCTCTCCACACTCCATGCCAGGGAGCTTGCAGGCGGCGTCCAAGGAGCAAAAAAAAATCAATTCCCTGATGCTTCCTCATTTTCCTTCCTCCCTCCACTATCCAGGTTCCCAAACACCGTAAGATTTCCCACCACCTCCAAGCCCAGGATTCGGATCTCTGGAAAGTCAAGGTAACAGAGCCATCTGTTCAGATCTCAAAAGATGGGTCCCCCTTGGGAAAAAGGAGTGGATTGCTGTGACGGGACCACACCATTTTATAGGCCCTTCTCCTATTTTAGGCCACAGTTAGTTGAAGAAAGTTATACAGACAGACTAGCTAAGGAGAGACTTGGAAATCGGATCTGGAGACACAGAAGAACATTGTGATTTCACCAACAGGGAATTAGGCTTCCAGTTTCTCTACAACCTCACCAGCATTTGTTGCTTGCTGTTCTGTTAAATTTTGCAATTCTGACTGGCGTGAGATGAGATCTCATAGCCGTTCTGATTTGCATCTCTCTTAGAGCTAGGGATTTTGAACATTTCCTCATAAATAGTGCAATCACTGTGGAAGGCGGTAGGGCGCTTTCTCAAAAAGTTGCAAATAGAGATACCATTTGACCCAGCAATTCCACTACTGGGAATATACCCCAAAGAGACCATAACTGCCACCCAAGCAGATATATGCACACCCATGTTTATCGAGGCTTTGTTCACAATAGCAAGGAGTTGGAAACAACCAAGTGCCCATCAACAAATGAATGGATAGAGAAGCTGTGGTCT